TATAATAGATAATACACTATTTAATAAGTAATTAAGTTGTCAATTGAGTCCTTATAAAGTTATAATGTTATAAACATCTCCTCTTTGAATGCTCCTTATTTGTTGTGATAATCTCTTCTCTTCCTCCTTAATCTCATTTATCATTACAATCTTCCAAGGTCATATCAAATGAGAAGAAAAGAGAATAAGGGCAATTTCATCTAATATAACTAAATGGCTATCCAATTGTGACAAGAAAGTCATCCCAGATGAGTTAACAAGTTATAAGAGCATGCACAAATGAACCAGAATGTAGACTAGAAACAGAAGGGGCCTAGGCGGCCAATTGCAAACTTCTCAAGAATATATTAGAGCTGAGGAGTCAATCCATGAGGCCAACATCACAGCTGATTCACTAATGAAATTAGTTTCTAGTATAAACATTCTACACAAGACATAAATAGCACAGCAAAGTCCAAGAAAATTAAAATGAATAGAGCCCTAAAAAGGTACTTGAAACTTTGTTTGATGAGAGAGAAAGAAATAAAGAGGTAATTAGAAATTGTGTGTTTTTTTTATGCATTAGCAGTTTTCCTAGGATATGGAGAATTTCAGTAATCATCAAATTCCTTACCGATCATATGACAATTGAGCATCCCCAACGCGCCCAATAACTTTGTTTCGTACCTTCCTTATAGATACCTACATTAGGAAAGAATAGCAAAAGATAGATTAATATATCAAAGATTCTGTTTAATCTACAATGAAACAATACATACCCACACACGATTAAGGGGTCCATTTTCATCTCGAGCACGATGAATAACAATGCCATTGTCACATTTATTTATAAAATGTGCACTCCCACTAATATCATACAGATTTGGCGGATTGCCTCCCCAGTTTTGCAGCTGTTAATTAATATAGTAAAAATCAATAAAATAGAATAACCCACAAAGTTGATGATCATTGACATACCTGTCTTGGATGAGCTACAAACCAGACATGACAAGAATGGTGATGGGCAAATCTCTTGATCATAGTAAGCATGCGACTAACATACTCTGTTTCTGTCCTGATAGAAATTCACTAAAATCATCAAAATATAAACAAAAATCCAAATTCAGCTTTTTATTAAACTAAAAATACTAGAATCTGGAAGAAAAACTACTACAGAAAACAAAACCAGGAGGAAGCCTGGAAAATTATGCAGGAACAAAATCAAAGGGCAGCACATAGCCAAGATAAGAACACATAGAAGTAGAATCCTCACTGATTAAAAAAACGTTGGTGATCCAGCTCATTATACGGGTCAATGACAAGTCCACGCACCCCATGTCTTAAAACTGCAGCTTTAGCTAGCATAAGGACCCAATTAATAGATGGAATGGAATCATCATCACACCTGCTCTATCAACCAAAAAACTCAGCGAGAATAACCAAAAGCGAGAGAGATTTATGAAGCGGTTCTGTAATCCAAACTACAACATAAAATATTTCAATATAACTCACCGAATAATATGAAATGTATCATTAAGCCACTTCTTCCCTTCTTCCAACTCTAGAAGGCTCATTCGTTCAACAGATTCTCCGTTTCTAAATGCTCATAAAGGTACAAAAAATCTTACTAAATAACTGGTGTGCTGAAACTGCTGGAAAGTATGCCAGTCAACCGTAATCAGACTAGGCCAAAAATAAGATAGAATAATTTAACTATGCCAATAGAACATAAAAAAAGAAGGATGAAAGTGTCAAGTGGTGTTTACAGATTCATAGATCTTGACGATTTCTAGATGGTTGCAAGAAATTAAATAGAAATTGCTTGGGTCTAAAATACTGATGATAAACTGAAACTGGAAAATAAACATTATTTTTGGACTAAGTTTTTTCAAGGAAAATATAGAAAATTGGAGGATTTACATACACATCATGAAATTCTTATGTATTTACAAATATAAAACCAAAATCTTCATATTTACATACAGACCACTTTCATGTGTGTGCGCACGTGTGAGAGAGAAGATATGTGTTAGGAAGTGGATGCAGAAATCCATTTCCCTTTTGTTGAATTAAATTACAACACTCCAAATACAATCTCCAAGAAGAATTAAGAGATATAATGAAAGAAAAATTGTTTTAATTGATGAAATAGGAGAAAGACACGAGATACAATGGATCCCCAATTGTAGAGGAGGATCTGGCTCTCTCAATCTCTAGATGGCGGCTAGAGCCCAAGTACAACCTAAGAACTCTCACAAATTCAGCAAAATACCAAATAATCCTAACCCTGGGAAATTCCCCTACTTAAAGCATACAATAATCCTCTATATCCCAAAACAGCCATCCTTTTCAAATTTCCCTCCTAATCCTCCCTATAATTCTTTCTTAATTAATTGGGGGGG